ACACACACACACACACACACACAAACACAGACACAGATACAAACACACATACACATACAAACAAACACACACACACGCGCACAAACAACCGTGCTCTCCTTACTTAACATCCGGGGTCCCAGCGTCCACAGGATCAAGGCCACTGATGTCTACATCTATGCTCATCTGCTGGCCGGGAGCCTGAGGGGAGAAAATGATATAAGTTTAACGCCCCTATCAATACTGTTAGGTTATTTAACCCCATCTGTTCGCCCTGGGGTCATTTTGTACCAACGGGGTTGTATTTTTCACATTTTAGAAAACTTCTAGTACGAAGATCTCTTTGAAATTTTCGGTATTTCTCAAAAAATCATTTTGACAGACTGCTATGCAAAGCGTACGGATCGGATTAACCTGTAATTAATTTCCTCTTTCGAAAGTGGGGGCACAGAATTCCTCACGTCGTATGGATACGATAGTAAAACACGACCTACGGACAGGGCCAAGAGGCGGGACCTTCGAGTTTAACATCCATCTCCGAAAGGACCGTGCCAAGTGGGAAATTCGTGTAAAGTGCCTCCTTTCCCAAGGACACAGCGTCTGACCGAGCTGAGGCTCGAACCCCCGAACCCGCAGTCTCACGATTACGAGCCCTGTAGCCTAACCACTAGGCCACCGACGCCACGTCCCCGAGGGGGTAAAGAAACAGAATCATACAAAACAAAACTTATCAAAAACAAAGCAAAACATGAACTGACCTGGTGTCGTCGAAATAAGATCTGTTTTTAAATGAATAAGATGAATATTTGGAGTGATTTTCTTTTCGTTACAACACAACGTTTTATGTTACTGTTGTACGTTGTAGTGTATTGTAAAGCGCTCGGGGCCTGTGTACTGTAATCGAGACTGAGCGCTACATAGATCTAAATGTCATTTATTATTATTATTAGATCTGCCGAGGGGTCCCAATATGATTTTCACGCAGAAGTTGGAGGTTCGATCCCTCGATGGGTCAAAAGAGTAGAATCCCAGACAGGGCGTTTTTTAAAAATCAGGTCGGTCGTTATGCGAAGTTTTTTAAGTTCTTAACACATTTGGAGACAGACGTTAAATCGGAGGTACTGCCCAGTAAATAAGGATGCTGATGAAACGAGTTACTTCTCGGATTCGAGCCCTCTATGGAAATGGCTACATCTCGCTTATAGGTGAAGTTTTTACCATATATAAGTATGACATTATAATAAAAGGCATGCTATGCTTGAAGAATATGAAATCAATAGAAAATCTACAAATTTGACCCCAGTGTCGATTTTTGGCCTATATCTCAAATTTGTGGATTGCGAGAAGTAACTCATTTTGTCAGCACGCCTCACTTAATATAGTGATCGTAAAGCGGTTCCTCCTTTTGTATTTTCCCATTTCGACTGAACCAACTTCTGATTGGTATACTGTAGCACTCCTTCCATTCTTCCGTCCTTCCTTCCTTCTTTCTTTCCTTCCTGCCTTCCTTCCTCCCTCCCTTCCATCCCCCCTTCTCTCATGCATTCTTTGATCCAAGTGCTCATTAACTCATTCTTATTTGTTTCATTCATTCATCCATCTGTCCACCTGTTCCGTCATGCCTCCTAATTCACTTATTCTTCAATCCACCCATCCATCCATCCTTTTATCCATCCATCCATCGACCCATCGACCCATCGACCCATCCACCCATCCATCCATTCATCAGCCCATCCATCCATCCATCCATCAGCCTATCCATCCATCCATCCATCTGCCCATCCATCCATCAATCCTTCCAGCTGTCCATCCAGCACTAACCTGGACAAATTTGATAGACCCAGTCACCTTCTGTGAAGATTTCGGGTCAGGCTGGACATTGCAGATGGCGTGCACTTCTGTAGATATATATATATATACCATTATACATGTACATTACAATGGATGTACTGTTGAAATTGTTAAGGACTGCCACCCCAATGTCGAAGAGGAAAGTGGTCGTTCTAGACAAACGGACGTCTTACACAAAACGTGAAATGCATTGCATAAAATACAAGTACATAAAACTATATTGTAAAAAAGATTTAAAAAACAAAACAAAACAAAAAACAAAAAGAACAACGCAGCAAAAATACCAAAACAACCTCCGCCCCCCAAAAAAACAAAAACAAAAAAACCCAAAGCAAAACATAACAACAACAACAACAAAAACCAACCCTCAAAACAAT